GAGAGGGACTTACTGTAGGGGAACGATCTCAAGGTGAAAGGCTGAAAACCAACAATCCAATGAGTTAAATGTGGTTAGAGGTTCTAACTTCACCTTTTTTACAACTGGTTTTGCAAAAATCGTGAAGAGTAACTGTTGGATTTGGTGCTATCCAAAATCACCTACATAAGGAAATCTTTGTGGGATTAAGATATTCCCAAATTAATATTTCCAAATTATGTGGATTGAGATATTATCATATTTTGTGGAATTGATTGATATATTCTCATATTATATGGGATTGAGATATTATCATATTTTGTAGAATTGAGATATTCTTATATTATGTGGGATTGAGATTGATATTGATAAGTATCCTAAAGGAAATAGAAATCCAAAACTATTAGAACTCTTTGATATATCTATTGGTCTTTTGAGATATATGTGATATCTATAGGAAATTTCTTATTTAGTATTGATTCATAATCTTATATATATGGGATGAAAGTGTAGAGAATTTGTGTGCCCTATTTGGGTCACCATATGAGAATGGTGGTTCTTCTAGAGAAAGAGGGAGCTAGAGCCGTATGTGCATAAGATGCAATTTTCTTCTCTCATTTTAAAGAGAAGAAAGCTTCATTTGGATAGAAATATTGTGATGGTGTCTCTTTTAGACTCTCGAAGATTGAAAGGTTTGTTTTTTTATAGAGAAGCGGTTTCCATAGAGATTTTGAGTTGTTCGCCTTTTAGTGAGATAAAGTCTCGTTTGCTCTCAAAATTCTCGTCCTTGATAATGATTTAATTATGGAATAGAGATGAGAGATCGACAGTGGTGTCGTTTGGGAGAGCAGGTTTAAAAGGATTTGCACGACTTGTGTTTTTGTCGAGGTTTGTTCCAAAATCTTTGATGTAACTTTAATTAGTATAGCGGATTTCAGTTTGCCGTACTAGTAGATGTAGCCCTTTTGGAGTGAACCATGTAAATCTTTGTGTTCTTGTGGTGTGTTTCATATTTTATTTCTCGTACTTTATTTGTAAAAAATCAACCCATCAGGTTTAGAGCTTTCGCGCACAACAGTAACGTGGCTTTCTTAGATGTAATGTGGCTTTGCAAATTTGCAAAGGAAAAACGAACGAGGAAGGGGTAAAGTGGTTAGGGGAGTAATATGGCTTTGTATCTGGTTTTTGTAAAGATTGTGGAAAATTCAACGAGAGCGTGAAATTGAAGATGATGGCTTAGAAAAAGTGAAATATGAGCAGAGGAAAGAAGTATGTTGAGCTAAGATTGTTGATCGATGCATCATGAGAAGAGGAGGTTGTTGCCGGCTCTGATACCATGAAGAATTGTAGAGAGAGAAATGAACTTTGGTAATAGTAATTGTGCACCGCACTATTACATATGGTGGTGTCATTGTATATGAAATTGTAATTTTTCATTCTCATGGTACATTCTCATCTCAAAAGGAAAGAAAAATATTTCTATTGTGGTCTTTCCAAAAATTGAAAATTTTGAATTTTATTTCTATCAATGAGAAAGCAGGAAACTGCTGATTTTAATCGTTCCTTATGTATTTCATTTATTTAATGCGTAAAATGTATATTTTGAATAAGATTTTATTGTTGCAACCCATCTAATGCATTTTTATAAAATGTATAGTTGAGTCTCCATCAGTTAAGAGTATGAGACACCCATCAATTAATTAAAATTACAACTCCATAATCTCCATTTGAGTTAAAACTAAACCCAGTTCAGTTACCCTTCCCATTCATCTATAAAATCCATTACCCAGAATTTCAACCCCATATATAGCAGCTACAAGGACAAATTAGAGCATCGAAGAGAGAGAAGAAGAGATGGAACCATCACAAGCTATTAATTTTTCCACCATTGAAGCAACTGTCGGGAAAAACCATAAAGTATAGCAAAACATTAAATATTCAATGAACATTATACTTGTTTTCATAAGTATAACAACATTTTGTATCAAATATTCAATTAAATTAAGAAAATAACTGACTAGGAGTAAAATTCTCACTACCAGTTCATTTGGGGCTCTAAACTGCCATAAACAAGGCTGGAAGAATTAAAAGGATCCCAATCCTTTATAATAATGGAAACAAACAAAGTATAAATTTCTATGAGAGAGAAACAAGTATTACCTGAAAGAGAGATAGAGAGTTTAGTTTGCAGCTATTGTTTAGTGAGAGAGAGTTGAATATTACAACTACTATGGAGAGAGATATTTGCACACAATTACTTGAGAGAGATGGAAAGCAGAGCACAAAAACCCATAACTGTTTTAGAGAGAGAAACAAGTATTACATGAAAGAGAGAGGAAGTTTAGAGAGTGCTGCAGATTGCACCTATTATAAAAAGATATAATTGCATACAATTACTTGAGAGAGAGAGAGAGAGCGAGAGATTTTGCATGAAAGAGAGAGGAAGGGAAAGAGATTTTGCAGCTGGAGCAGTGGCGTTGCGGAGGGAGTAGGGTGTGGTGGAGTAGCGCCGGTAGACAAGGGAGAGAGGTTAAGATGCATGGCAGAAGAGAGGGAGGGCGTTCAGGTTTTGGGGGTAATACCACCATTGAACCTTCCTTGAAAGTCGCAGCGCAGGGTTTAGATTTACTTGAGGGCCGTTTGGATCACTGGATTTTTCAATCTAGGGAAAAATCAAGGAATTGAGATTTACTAGAATTGACATTTCTTATGAGTTATGCTGTGTTTTTAGAATTGACATTTCTTGGAATATGGTGTATACCAATGGTTTAAAAACCGGATTGGTGATCCGGATCGGGCTTTTCAAAAACCGATCCGGATCGGCGAATCGGCGATCCGGATCGGAATCGGGTGAATCGGTCAGAATAAAGCTTCAAAAAAATCCGAAAAAATTATTAAAATTCATTATAAATATTGGTTTTTAAGAATTCAATAAAAAATGAGGGTACTCCATTAAGAATTTTCATGTTTTTGAATGAATATGCAAA